ATGAGCAGTTTGCTCATGCATCGTGAGTGTTTATAATCAGAGCGATAATTATTTCGTTCCTTGCGTCCTAGGCGTCAGAGATTGCGACATCAGCTAGACGTCGCTGACACATGGGATAATTACTCGGCAACTGGACTCAGCAGTATAATTACCCGTTGATGAACGATCACTAATCGCTGAGAGAACTCACTCTAGAGCTCAACCAGCAGCCAAATGGGTTCGAGCCTCGGGTGGTGCACCACCGGGCGTTGGATGTGGCTGGCTGATGATGGCTTCTGGGCCAAAAATAGCTATTCTTTCAAAAATGCTAATGAGTCTCATCTCAACTTGGAGGAACATTGAGTTTATCTGCTTTAATTAAAGGGCAATCTAATCCGTATTTTGTTTTTTCTCACCCCTGAGCAATAGTTTTGTTTTCTGAAAAAAAATTTGTTCTTCATGTGCCTTTAAACTAAACGAGAACTTAAACTTAACGCTCAGTCGATATGCCATCTCTGAACTGGTAACAGTATTTCTTAAATTCGTTTCTTTTTTGAAAAGCTTTCTCAAGGAGGGCGGAAAATCAACTATTATGTAGTACAACCCTTCAGCATGGAGGCTTTTGAACAATCTCTTTTCCGGCCGCCTGAGTAGAGTACATTCTGTAGAGGATGACTAGTCATGTCATATGCATTTTTGCACACTTTTTGCTTTCGACGTCCTTCTATATTCGAATGTATTTCGTAGAAGAAGTGCGCAAAAGTATTTGGTAAAACTCGTGCAAAAGTCGGCATCCTGATGGGATTCGAAGATTTTGAGATTTTACTGTACACATTAGTTAATTTTACAACCTTAGGTACGCGAGCTTGTTCATTCTCAAACAGGCTTCAGAATGCCAGTTAACATTTCATGAGATAACATACCTGCGGTACGCCCACTCACATCTGACCTTCCATATGAGGATGATTCATCTGTTTGCAGTTTTTTTCCATTGTGCATCGTATATTTTGTTAAGCGTCTGTTAACCGGGCTCTAATATAATTATCACCCTTGATTTGTTAATTATTTAACAGTTGTGTACGCTTTTCGCATGCAAAACTTTGATCTATGTATTATGCTTAGGATAGAACCTTGATGAGGGCAAATTAAAACAGTTAGTTCAATTACTATTTGTGTCTGGCGTGCGCATCGTCATTCTAACAAGAGCCACTATGAGCGTCCTTTTGGTCTTCCGAAGGACGACACGCGAGGAATGAATAGCTGCTAAACTGCTTTTGATACTTCCTTCGCTGAGTAAGGCAAGGTGAGAGGAGTACCTCGTAGTCCAGGTAGCCGCGCGCTAGATTCCTACACTACTCAACTTACAACTGCAAGTTTTCAAAGGGCCTTAGGAGTACTGATGCCATTCCTTTCCTTAAACTAAAGACCTTTGATAAGTTCTTTCGCATCAAACAGAAAAGGTTTAGAAAACATTTTTCTGCAAAGTTACTCACGTTATTCGTCGCAGGTATACGTGCAAATTGTTTCGGTTGGGCAGCGTGAGCTTCGGAATTTACTTTTTCAATGTTAGGGACGATAGGTTATAGTGGTAGACGTCCAGTTAATAAGAGTTCGTCTTATTATCCCGGAAGTCGGACTTTTTCAAATTTTATAAACCAGATAATGGTCAAATAGCGTTGGAGAGGGCACTGTGACTTCCACCCCTGTCGATATATAAGGCTTCGCATTAGCTAATTAAATAATATGTAGAGGCCTGACTTATTGCACGCAAATACTTCTAAATAAACCTATCAGATTTTAAGGTAAACCTCTTAGTGGCAAAGGATTGTAAGTTGGGCCATCGGAGAT